GAAAAACCGGTCAATGTACTTAGTTCCTTACCTGTATGGTTAGCTCATTCTTGATACTCTGTGATTCATCAACTTGCAGAAGTATTTCTGCCTTATCTTTCACTGATAAACAAGGATGAACAGCAGTATTATCTTTTCACTTACTCAAGTACTTAATGAAACAAATTTTAAGTACAGTACAATCACAACAATGATTTCTTGCCTTTTTCTTAATGAATGTACTTCTTAACTCTGTTTAGGTTTATTTCTCACCAGTAAATTCTTATCATAATCACAACAGTTTTTGTGTTGTTAAAATATTCATTGTATAGGGGCTGGAGAGATGGCTAAGCAGTTGAGAGCACTGGCTGCTTTTGCAGAAGAACCAGGTTCGAATTCCAGCACCCACATGGTGGCTAACAACCATCTGTAACTCCAGATCCAGGGGATCCCACACCCTCTTCTGTTCTCCATGGATACTACACAACATGGGAGCATTTACACATATGCAGGCATAACACTCACATACACTTTAAAAAATGAAAAAAAATGTATAGATAATGATGCTTAATTTTCTCCATTTCTATTAACTAGGACAGGTATACAAGAATTAAAAATTCACACAGACACAGAAAAAAACTTCAAATACCTTAAGTATTTATTTGGTCAAGCTGCTTCTTAAAAATTTCATTACATTTATTTACTTGTTCACTGTGTATGTGTGCCCCAGTGTGTGTGGAATGCAAGACAACTTTGAGGTGTCAGCCCTCTCCTTCCATGATGTGGGTCCTTGGATCAAACTCAGGTCATCAGGTTTGGAAGTAGCAAGTGCCTTTACCTGCTGAGCCACTTTACTGGCCCAGGTCATGCTACTTTGTAGCCCAGGCTGGCCTTGGACTTCCAATCCTCTTTGCCTCAGTCTCCCAAGTGCTGAGATTATAGATATGTTTCATCATTCCTGGATTCTTGGCTAATCTTAAAAGCAAGATTTTAAAAGCATGCAGAAATGGTTTTTGTTGTTAAGTTGTTGGGGATTACTATAAGATACACAAAAATGGTTATTTTCGGATTCTCTATATCAGTGAAACACTGTCAAATAAATATAAGCTCATAAAACTATAATTGAATATGTACCATTTATGGTCTCTTAAAACCATTCATTTGTTTAAAGGAGTACTTCCCTCATTATGGAAGAAACATCTCTATTTTGAGACTTCTGTTCCTAAGCTTTAGAAATCTTTACATGGCTAAGATATGCGATAAACTCTTCACTTTGAAAACAAAGTAGGGGAGATTAAATAGGAAAACCTGGAAGGAAGTTAGCAAAGGAGCAATGTTCAAACACATATGAACACTGATATAACCACAGGATATCAGCTACTGATATTTAACTTCCCCATCACTTCAAACATCTATTTGTTCATTCATTTATTTGGAGATTGAGTCACTTCTCAACCTCTGCCTCAGGCTTCTGAATGCCAGAATTAGAGGCTTTCACTATTACACCCAGCTCAAATACTCATTTTTTATAATGAGAAATATTCAAAATTCTCTTTACTTTGAATTATATAATAATTCTGACTACAATCACACTGTTGCAGTAAAACAGCAGAATGTATTCCTCCTCTCTGAGTCTTGGACTGTATAAGTGAAGAAATGAGCTGAGCAGCACGCATGCACCTCTCTGTGCTCTTAACTGTGACTGTGATGTGATCAGCTGTTGAAAGTTCCTGCTGCCTTGGCTTCCCTGCTTTAATGGACTGTAACCTTGAATTTTGAGTTAAAAATAAACCTTTTCTCCTTTAAGGTGCTTTTGTCAGGGTATTTTAACACAGCAACAAAAATGAAACTAGGATACCAGGCAAGTGCTCTTCCTGGGGAAATAAAATAAAAAAGGAAATAAAAAAATTATAGAATTGAATGAAAATGAAAACAGTAGATCCAACCCATGGGTTCTAATAAAAAAAGTCTTAAGTGGGAAGATTTGTTTGTTTCGGTCTTTTCAAGATCACATCTTCCTGTAGCCATAACTGCCCTAGAAGTCACTATGTAGACTGACTGGTCACCATCTCACAGAGATCCGCGGACTGGTCACCATCTCACAGAGATCCGCCTGCCTCTGCCTCCCTAGTGCTAGGATTAAAGGCATGCCCCAACACATGCAACTTAAGTGCAATGTTGATAGCTAGAAGTGCCCACATTAAAAAACAAAACAAATCAAAACAAAAACAAAACCAGAGAGCTCTCAAATAACTAACAACGCATAGTAGGGCTTTGGAAAAAAACAATAACCAATCCCTAAATCAGCTGATTAGGATTAGAACAGAAACTAATGAGATGGTAATGGAAAAAAAAAAAGACAAAAAATGAAACAAAGACTTGGTTATTTGAAAGCATACACAAGATGGACAAATCCTTAGTCAAACCAACTAAAAGGGGAAAAAGGTCCAAATTAACAGTAGAGATGGAAAGAGAACCATACAACAGATAACAATGAAATTCAGAAAATCATTATATTCCATTAAATTGGAAAATCTAAAAGAAATTGATGAATTCTGGATGCATAAGAACTTCTAGAATTAAAGTGAGTGAGATAAACAGAGCTGTAAAAATCATCGAGGTTGGGACTGGGCATTGTGGGATAGACCTTTAATCCCAGCACCCTGGGAGATTGAGGCCAGCCTGGTCTACATAGTGAGTTCTAGGCCAGCTGGGGCTATAATAAGATCTTGTTTAAAAAAAAAAAAAAAAAACCAACAACCAAACAAACCAACAAAAATCAATAGATTGAAATGGTTATAAAATCTGCCAACTACACAAAAGTCCATGTCCAACGCATTCACTGCTGAATTCTACTAACCTTGAAAGAAAACCAGTATTTCTAAAAAATTCAACAAAGAAAAATGAAAAAAACGCTACCAAATTCTTCTAACAAAAACTGTATTACCCTAATATCAAAACCAGATAAAGATACAGAAAAAATTATAATCTCCTTTTGATGAACAAATATTTAAAAATTCTCTAAAGTCTTACAAATTCAAGACACCAAAAAAAGAAAAAGAGCCATTTAGCATGATGACGTTGCATTCTAGAGATGCATGAATGTTTCAACATATGTAAATCAATAAATGTACATATATGAACTCAAGGACAGAAAACACATGACCATCTCAATAGAGGCAGAAGAGGATTTTGACAAAATCCAACATAATTTCATAAAAACCCTTGAGAGAATAGGAATAGAAAGAATACACCTCAACATAATCAAGGCTAGATACAACAATCCCATAGTTAACATGTACAAAATGGGAGAACTGCAAAGCATTTCCACTAAAATCAGGAAGAAAACAAGGAGGCCCACTTTTTTTTTTTCTTCCCTCAGTCTTTTTGAGACATGATCTCCCTGGAGCCCTGGCTCGCATGCCACTCACTATGTGGATCAGGCTGGCCTCAATCTTACAAAGATCTGCCTGCTTCTGCCTCCCGTGTGCTGGGATTAAAAGTGTGCACCACCACGCCCCATGCTAGAAGTATTTCAAACTCTGATTTGAAGTTATACTACAGACTCAGCAACAAAAACAATACGGTACTGGAACAAACATGGACATGGCAATCAATGGACTAGAACAGAGAATGCAGATATAAACAAAGACAGCTACAGCTGCCTAATTTCTGACAAAGATGCCTAAATGTATAGTGGAGGAAAAAGCCTTGTCAACAAATGCTGCTGGGAAAACTGGATATCCACATACAGAACAAAACTAGATCCTTATTTCTTAATATGTACAAAATCAACTCCAAATGGATCAAAGATCTAAATGGAACTCTGAAACTGTTAGAGGAAAAAGTAGGGAAAATGCTTCAAGATATAGGCACAGGCAAGGACTTTCTGAATAGGACTCCAATTGCTTTGGAAATAATGTCAATAAATTAAAAATGTGTCCTCAGGAAACATTTAACTGTGTGAAGAGATAGCTTACAGAATGGGAGAAAAATCTTTTGCTAGTTATGCATCTGACAAAGAATTAATTTCTAAATATACAACGAACTAAAAAAAAAACCCTAAACAATAAGAAATCAAAGAACCTAATTAATAAATGGGCTAATGAAAGCAACCAGCTTTTAAAAGATAAAGTACAAATGGCAGATAAATATTCAATGTCATTAGCCATCACAGAAATGCAAATGACAATTACATTGAGTCTCCATCTAACACAAGACAGAATGGCAATCATTAAGAAAGCAACTAACAACAAATCTAGTGAGTCTGGACAAAAGGGAGCCTTATATACTGCAGGTGAGAAAGTAAATTAGTCCACCCACTATGGAAATCAGTATGGAGGTTTCTCAAAAACCTGAAAAATCATTCACCTATTTTATGAACGAGCTACACCCCATTCCTGGGTGTTTACACGAAGGGATCCAAGTGAACATGTCACAGAGATTCTTGCACATCAATGTTACTGCTACACTTTGCACAATAGCTAAGTTAGATAACAAAACTAAGGTGTACAATAACAGAGAAATGGATAACAAAAATGTGGTACACACACATACACACACACATACACACACATATATACACACACACACACACAAATGGAATTTTTTCTAGCCATAAAGAGAAATGAAGTTATGTTTTTTGCAGGAAAACAGGTACAACTGTAGGTAGTTATATTGGAGTAAGCCAGTCTGAAAAAGACAGACACATGTATTTTCTCTCATTGATGGTTCTCTAGATTTTATATAGATACATAAAATCATGTACATGTATGATATGAAAGAAGCAAAATCATATAGGTAAACAAAAGAGACTTACAGGAGGTGGGGAGGACTGATCAAAGGGAGGGTGGGGGTGTATGTGGGAAT